GTTGAAAGAGTGCGCTAACGGAAACCGAAGGATCGTCAAGGCGGAGGTATCTTCCGCAAAGTTAGGCTTCTCTCCTGTTGAGACGAGTCGTTTCTCGATCTACCGCTTGGCCTTCAGTAGGGCTCGTTTGGCTAAGTCGATGTATTCTTCAGACATTTCCACATCAATCGTGTATTCACTGCCATCTAAAAGATTCTAGATATCGTTATCCAATGAAATTAGTTGATCCAGGATCTACCGTAGACGGCCTCGGTAGCGCTCATAATCCTCAAGTGGGGTGTTGGCCGTGGATTCAATTACAAGGGTAGTGAACCTTGTCGTTTTCGCCCTTATCGTGGAGCGCTCCCTTTTTAACCTTCGGAGCTCGCTATCCGCCATGTCGAGTTGTGAGAGTACATCCCAGAGTCCAATTGATCGTCTGTGTGGGGTCTGTAGAAAGTCAGAAACCGCAAATGTCGACAGAGCCAAGTTGAATTCAGCGATCGTGGGCGTGTTTATTTACTTTTTTCCTTCGAAGTCTCGGCGTTTAAATGTGTCGTGAGACAAACTACTGCTTCGTGATGAACACAAATTCTTTCGCGATGGACAAGATCCCGCAATCCTTCCCGGGTTTCGGCTCCAAAAATTGTTGTGAAACAAGACCCTGAGTCGTATTCTTGTGGCGTCACTCTATTACTCAACGCCATAACTACAATTCAACGAAACTACAACACAAAATGTTGAACAAGTCGCTTCACATTCGGTCCTTTTGTGCTAACTACTCTCACTAAAATGTCGAACTGTACTCGTAGAACTGTCCATCTCTCAGCGCTGGCTAACCACTGGCTTCTGTCAACACCACTGCCACACTCGGTCCTCACCTCTGCTTGTTATACTTCAAATCGGACAAGTGGGAAACGAACCCTCCAGCAGCACATCTACTGTTACGTCACAGCGGGAAGTGCTTACCGTCTCGTTGCCTAGTACAGCTCCTCTGCTGTTACATCAGAGCGGGAAAGAGTTTATTGGTCTGTTGCCTATCAGTAGCAGTTTCTCTGCTGCTGCGTCACAGTGGGGAAGTGTTTACTGGCTCGACAAATAACACGCAACAACTATACAGTGTGTCCAGGTTCTGTTAGGACTGTGTTCATTAAAAATACAAGACGTGAATTATTTTCAAAAATTCACTCTTTTATTCAAAATGGTCTCCCTCTGAATCAATACATAGCTGAAATCGATTGAAAAGTTTTTGAAAACATTCACTGTACTCCTATTGTGGAATCGCATTTAAAACTGCGGTACATTCCTCTTGGATGTCCTGGATAGTGTCATGACGGTCTTCTTTCATCTCCAACTTAACTTTTGGGAACAAACAGAAATCTGTTGGAGCCAAATCTGGCGAACACGGAGGATGATCAAGGACTGTGATCACTTTTCTGGCCCAAAAATCGCGCACGGTCTTTGATTTGTGGGGTGAGGCATTGTCGTGGAGGAGCGACCAGGAACCTTGTTCTCGATATTCGGGTCGAATTCGAAGAATTCTCGCGCACAAACGATGGAGGACTCCGAGATAATAATTAGAATTCACTGTTTCACCTTCTGGCAGAAATTCCTCGTGAATGATTCTTTTGGAATCGAAGAAAACGATTAACAGTGTCTTTACTCGACTCTTTTGCATGCGAACTTTCTTTGGTTTCGGCTTCTTTGGGCTTAACCACTCTGCACTCTGCCTCTTTGTGAGAGGCTTATATTGAAAACGCCATGTCTCGTCACCAGTAACAATCGATTTTGTAAATTTTGTATCATTCTGGGCCGACCATAAATGTCTTTGCAGTGTTCCGCTCTGGCAAGTTTTTCATCGCCTGACAGCGCGTGTGGTACAAATGCGCACAGGCCTTCCGTTTGCCCAAATCCTCGGTCAAAATTTGATACACAGTACTTTTTGTTATTCCCAAAAGTTCCTTGATATGTCTTACAGAAACACACCTGTCTGATGCAAAGATTACCGTCACTTATTCGCATTTTCTTCAGTGCGACTTGTTCTCGGCTTTGATGCACGTGGGGCGTCTTCAGTGTCCTCCCTACCGTCACGAAATACAGCATACCATCCAAAAATGTTCGAGCGACTCAAACAATCACTACAGTCCACACTTTTCATCATTTCGTACGCTTCTCTGGCTGTTTTGCCTAACTTCAAACAAAATTTGATGTTGGCTCTCTGTTCAACTCCATTTTCTGTCAGAACAGTACTTGTACATTCAAGGTCAGAACACATGATCCAGCGATGGTTGCGCTTTGTAATTATAGAGAGCCACAGCTGAAACTTAAAGAATCTTAACGCCACAACTCGCCAACAGATGGCATTATAGGACAAAATAATAATAAAAAAGAGTCCTAACGTCTCCTGGACACCGCGTAGTAGAGCAAACGCTTATGCAGTCATGGATCATAAGTCAAGAAATTACAGGGGAAAGAAGCCTCAATTCCCAACAGTATGCTCGACAGCCACCAAGTTTAAGCCTCTTATATTTCCTGTGTCAGGGTTCGCCTTGTCCATCGTTGCAAACATTTGCATTTTCATGATTTCATATGACTTCTATTTGTTGCCCGCATAATTTTGTTATATAAACATATTGTGACGTATTTACGCTATGCAGGACACCACCTGCCCCGAGGTGACGTAACAACATCGGAGAAATTGCCGCTGCTACGGTAACAGGCCAGTCAAAACCCCGCCCTCCTCCCCCGCGGTGACGTAACAGCACTTTCCACTGTGACGTTACAGGGGACAACGCTGATAACACTAGGCAACAGGGAACTGTATAAAAAGCCGTCTGAGCAGTATGTGACCAGAGAGTGTGTGTGATCAGGAGTGACACAGTGTGGATCGTAAAGTCGCCGAGGTCACTTTCAATCTAGCCGTCGCCGAATCGGGTTGTATCGAGTGCATGGAAGTAACTACAGCTGAAGACGTTATTGTGATACTGCCGATGGCAGTAGCTGTGTAATTGTGAATTGTGTAATTATGAGAGCGAGTGAAATAAATTCGCTAGATTCAATACGGCGTGAAGTTATAAGTCCCGTGACATATAACCAACACGTGACAATATATTTTCGAAAGTTTGAAAGCCATCGTGAAATCTCGAACAGGTGTGCGCCTTGAAAAATTTCCAATGGTGCGGAGATTTTTTTTGCAGGCGCTGTAATTTCTGTAGACGGTTGTCTGTCACAAACTCCCAGACGGGACAAGCATAAGTCATGATACTCCTAATGAGTGATTTGTGGAGGGCCAATTTAATGTTAGCGCTTATTCGCTGATTTTCGAATAGGGAAACTACCATGTAGAGTCGATTGTCTTCAAGATAACTCCCCAGCATACGACAGGCAGAAAACACAGCAAAGTCAAAGTGTTATTGCGACTGACGGTAAGTCAGTCAGTCAGTCAGTCAGTCAGTAAGTCTTGTTTTCGAGTCCCATCTGAGACCCATGACCAGATATTTATTGCTCTTTGACATTTACTCTCTTGTTTTTGTGGGGCTTCCTCTCTGGCGAGAGGACGGGTCTCCCGTTTGTATATGCTGCCTGCGCTTTGCCAGCGCAGTCTTTCTCGGGTCCGAGTTCCTTGGGACTCCTGACCATATATTACTGTATCAGATTTAGACTTCCCTTTTCGTCGCCTCCTAAGACTCAGTGTCACGGTGGAGGTATTCGACCCCGCCTCCACACGGGGCCAGAAAACACAGCCTTTTTATTGTTCCGATGTATTTACCGCAATATTGCATAGCAACTGTCGGAGCGCGGACCACATAGAAAACACATGCTCTCTATTGTTGCAGCGTTTTTATCGCGGACGTGTGTTTAGAGAGCCGTTGCTTAGAAACAGTTTGTCTACCCCCTTTGCTCTATTGTTGCGTGAGTTTATTACTTAGCAAAGGTCGTTTCTATGTCTCCATATCATCATACAAATATATGTATATGTATTCGGAACTGTCATGAGAGCCATCGGGAGCCACTCTAACAGTCGGATCACAGATCTCTGTTCTTTGAAGCATTTTATCAACATAGGTGCTATATTAGGCCCGTTATAGTTCTGTCACTACTGAAACACCATTTCACTTATTAGGTGCAAATGGAGGAAGACCCATGTTTTTTAAGTATGTCATAACTTTCATGTTATGTCCTTGATGACAAATTTGCTAATTTCATAGAGCTGAGCCCTTCTTGAGAAACCGCTAATTCTGCTACTACTCACGAACTTCCCAGCATTTTATGGAACTCGAAAATTCATCACCATGTTCACGAGTACACTCCACTCTTCCCCGTCCTGAGCCAGATCGATCCAGTCCATTCCACCCCACCCTATCTCTCTAAGATCCACTTTCATATTATCCAGCCAACTATTGAAATACACTAGAAATATATCTGCAGCTTCATTTGAATTTTTCTTTGCCTTTTTATTCAACATAGGAACACAAGATTTGCATAAGCCAATGCAGTGAAGGAATATTACAGTCAGTGAACTACTAATATTAGAACATGGGAAACTTCGAATTTGAAAATACGGGCAGTAGTGCGAACTGGAACACTAATTTCCACACTTATTTTTACAGTTTAAATTGCTTATTATAAATACGTCTTACCCACCATATTGAGCAGCGAATCTCTAAATAACTCCCGTTGTTAGGTAACGCTCGCAACATACACGCATACAACAATAGAAAAACAGTGTTTTCTATGTATTTCGCGACGCAACGTTTGCTAGGCAACGGCGAGTTAACATGTGTCTACAACAATAGAGGGAACGTGTTTTCTGTGTGGTTCGATCCTAGGAGTTATCTTGAAGACAACTGGAGCTACAGTTCAATTGCGGGATATTCACCGGACAGCAACGACGTGAGCACAGAAGCTGAAGGTACGCTGATATTAGAAGCCGCTACAAGGAACGACCGTTGCACGCAAACAAGATTGATACCGTTACTGAAATCGATATGGAATTTTCCAAAAATCCGGGAAAAATTATCATGCATGATGGGAAAGAACTGGCGGAACTCAAGAAGGAAAGAGGAAATCAGCTATACAAAACCGGGAGATATCAACAAGCAGTTCATCTCTATACGGAAGCTATTAAATTGTGTCCTGACTCATCAACATATTATGGAAATCGTTCTGCTTGCTACATAAATCTATATCAGTATAAAGCTGCTCTGGAGGACGCCAGAAAAGCAGTAGCTCTGGATCCTAGCTTTTTAAAGGGATACATGCGAATTGCAAAATGTAATTTTGCTCTAGGTGATCTGACAGCAGTAAACAGTGTACTTTCCACTGTAAGAGAATTCAGTCTTGATAACTCCGCTATTCTACCAGAGGTTCAGAGACTTGAGGATTTAATAAGGTTTGATAAGGAAGGGACTGCAGCATGCAAAGAGCAAGACTACATAAAGGCTTTATTTTGTACGGATCAAATCCTTGAGCAGATTCCATGTACTAGATACAAAGTGCAGAAGGCTGGATGCTTAATATTACTTGGACGGTGTCAGGAAGCGCGAGATGTTGCAAATGACATTCTTCGTCTTGAAGAAAAGAACGCGGATGCAATTTACGTGCGGGGAATGAGCTTCTATTACCAGGATAACATAGAACAAGCCTTTTGCCACTTCGAATATGCTTTACGACTTGCACCAAACCATCAAAGGGCAATGAACATTTATAATCAAGCGAAGGCTTTAGTACAGAGAAAGGAAGAAGGGGATAAGGCCTGCTCACAAGGTAGATACAAGGAAGCTTACGACCTCTACACCAAAGCACTGCAGATTCAACCAAATAATAATTCAGCAAACACCAAAATATTCGTCAGTAGGGCAATTGTTTGTTCAAAGTTGGGCCGCTTTAATGAAGCAGTGGATGATTGCTCCAGTGCGCTGAAATGTGATGAAAATAACCGGAAGGCACTGTTACAGAGAGCAAAATGTTACATGGAACTCAAAGATTTTAACAAAGCTGTAAGTGATTATGAAAAAGCATTTAAAATTGATAAAAGTCGAGAGAGCTTAAGACTTCTCGAAAATGCAAAGCTAGCCTTAGAAAAATCAAAATGTAATAATTACTCGTATTACCTGGTTTTCGATGTAGATAAGAATGCATCTTTAAAGGAAATCAAGAAAGCATACAAAAGGAAGGCACTTGAACACCACCCTGATCGCCATGCAAATGCGACTGATGACGAAAGAAGAGAACATGAGAAGAAGTTTAAGGAAATTGCAGAAGCATACGCAGTACTATCGGACACGAGGAAGAGAGCATGTTACGACATGAGCCTGTAAGATTCAGGATATGGACGGCAGTGACAGTAACTTTAACCGGAATAGCTCGTATAGAGCATATTTTGCTAGAGACCGATCACTGACATTATAAGCACAGCCCTCGGAAAAGAAGAAATGGTGGTTAGCCTATAGGCTGTTCGGGAAGAAGAACCTTAAGGAGAGAGAAATGTGGCGTTGCTAAGCAGTGACTCTGTAAACATCGGCCGTTGCTAGGTAACGTCCGCAAAATGCAAGCAATCGAAAATAGAAGTACGGCGTTTTCTATGTGGTTCTCGCCGCGACCGTTGCCGTGCAACGACGACGTAAACACTCCTCTACAACAATATGGGGCTGTGATTTCTGCGTGGTCCATGCCGAGTAATAATCTTGAAGACAATTGGCATTATAGTCAACTGACAGTTCAGTTGTGGGATATTCGCTGGACAGTAATGACGTGAGCACAGAAGATAAAGAATCTTCACTGTTAGAAGTCGTTGCCAGGGAACGGCAGGTGAAGATACAGCGAGCTGGAAATCATGCTAATCGGGTACTGTAATTATTTGTACAGTGTAAATAAGAGATAGTGTTGTAATTCCTTGTATTTCCGAGTCGTGTGTATAAGTGGTCAATAAATCCAATTATCCAAAAACCCAGTCTATAGTCACTCATACACGTGACAATATCAAAGATAATTTATTAAGAAGAAATTAGACCATTCAAATGCACTTACAATCAGTTCTTATTGACAGATGGTTTTGTGAAGCGCCTTGGTTTGTTGCGAAGTAAGAATATACTGTACTTCTCAATTCCATTTACTGTCGTCCAGGGGAATGATGCAGTCCGCAAAACACCTCAGACAGAACTCTGATATGACTATCAGCTCTGAGGGAAATGATCGACAGATTTCCATGATCAACACAGTACATGGAAGTTCGTCAGTTAACGAGATGAAATACAATTGCATGTAGGAAGAATCTAAGTAATGAGTTGTTATTAATTTTCGCAAGTCTTTTCCAACTGAACTCTTGCGGCAAAAGTCCTTATTTAACATCATCTCTGGTGAGAACATAGGTTGGTTCTCGTGAATATGCTTGGCTATCTGCCAAGTGTATATTTCTCACATATAACATGTTATTGAAAACTCTTCCTTTTTACACTACACACAAGTCCTCCGTCAGCCCACACTTCGGAAGCAGATCATGCCTAACTTGCGTATCTTATGCTACAACGGCATATTAGTCATTTGATCGGTCGTAAGCTTGACCATAACCAAGTTGAAGCCTCTTATACAGGGGATTGACAAAAATATGGAAACACCTCGTGAAATGCATGCCTGAATTGAAGTGTTTATTTTAGCGACGTTTGTAGGTCACGCTGTCGTATCTGCACAACACCCCTACCTGTGCAACCTCCGCAATACGTTGCAAGCTTCATTTGTTGTCCAGACAGTGTTCTGTGCAGTTTTTAGTGCATCAAGTCAGAGCTAACAGAATTCGAACGAGGGCAAATCGTTGGGGCCCATGTGGTGGGTGTTTCCATAACCAAGGTAACCGAGGTTTTTGGTGTTTCGCGAGGCACAGTATCCTAAATTATGACCGTATACAGGAGAACTGAAAAAAACCCAATCCGATAAGCACCAGCATGGACGGAAATGTGTGTTTGAGTGATCGAGACAGACGAACATTGCGTAGGATTATGACAAAAAATAAGAAGACTACAGCAGCAAAAGTGACTGCTGAACTGAATGTCACGCTCACAAACCCTGTCAGCACCAATACAATACGAAGGGAACTCCACAAGCAGGGTATTTCTGGACGAGCTGCAATTCCAAAGCCACTCATCAGCGATCAAAATGCCACTAGGAGGACAGTGTGTTGCCGAAGTCATAAAACCTGGACTATGGAGCAATGGAAGACTGTCATTTGGTCTGATGAGTCCACCTTCACACTCTTTCAGACTTCTGGCCGACTTACGTCTGGAGAACGCCATCCCAAATTTACGATCCAGATTGTTTGCTGTCAAGAGTGGAACATGGCAGGGGTTCGATCATGGTATGGGCAGCCATATCGTGATATTCTGTCGGACCCATCATTACCCTGCAAGGTCACGTCACTGCCAATGTCTATGTGACCATTTTGGGCGACCAGGTCCATCCCATGGTGCAAATTTTGTTCTCCAATGGAGATGTCATTTACTAAGCAGACATTGCCTGTGTTCACACTACTCACTTCGTCCAGGACTGGTTTTCTGAGCACGAAGATGAAGTGTCACGTCTGCCATGGCTCCCACAATCTCCAGATATCAATATTATTGAGCCTCAGTGGTCTGTTTTGGAGAGCAATCTGCGTGCGCGCTATCCACCTCCATCATCGATAACAGAACTTACCAAGTTTTTCAGGCAGAATGGTACAAGATTCCCTTGCAAATTATACAGAACCTCTAGTTATCCATTCCAAGGAGCCTGCAAGCCAGAGGTTGTCCTACACCATATTAATCACGGTAATGTGTTTATTTTGTGTGTTCCCATATTTTTGTCCATCCCCTGTATTTTCTATGTCTGGCTTCGCAATGTCCTACATCGCAAACATGTTCATTCTTATGATTTTGTATGACTTTTGCTTGTCGTCTGCATAATTTTGTTACGTAATCATATACATACGGAAGGTGGAAAGCTGTGTGCAATTTGCAGGCCTATGTGCCCCTTGGAAAATTTCCGATGGAGCGCAAAATTTTGTTTTGCATGCTCTGCAATTTTAAGAAGTAGGTGTCTGCCGCTAATTCCCATGAGGGACAAGCATGATCTGATCAGTGCCTTATAGAAGCCTAAACACTCAGTTCTGAGTATGGAATAGATTCTGATAAATGTTGTGAAGGCCCTTCGAGCATTTCAATGTGAAGCCTCCATGTAATCATCTTATCGAAGACTTGTCCCAGATATTTTACATGGTTGACAAAGGGGATATCCTGCACATTCAATGTAAGATGTGCCTCAGGGGTCCCAAATTTATCAGAAAAGTAGATTACCCGAGTGTTATCTTTATCGAGAACTCGCTGCAGCTTTCTGAGAACATAATCGGTCGGTCGTATATACAGAATGTCCCAGGAGGAATGTGCCAAACTTCGGGAGGGTGTTCTTTATGTTAAAGTATGCCGATATAACCCAAAACACCTATGTTCAAAGTTGAACGGATACGGAGATAATGGCCAGAGAAGTGTGAAACTTTGACCGGTGTTACACACTTGTTGATTACAAAATACACATTAAAACTGCAGGAATATGGGGTTTCTGTAATGTTAATAATGTACGTAACATCAAACTAACTTGTGAGTGACATGAAGCCATAAAATTGAAGTACAAAATACTCGCTCGCCATGTCATAATTGTCCTTAGGTTTCCAAGCACTATACATGACACATGACTGGCAAGCGCTGACGTAAGATGGCTGACTGCGCATAGTGGTATAAACAGACTACATAATTGTATTAAATGTACATTCAACGAAAATATCTTTTGGAATTTCGTTTCCATTATCTCATGCGGATTATTATGGGACCACGTATGCACATTTCGTAAACCATTTACACCGTCCAGGGTAAAAGACGCCTCATCACTAAATAAAATGACGCTTAACAGTCCGGGATGAGCTTTTATCCAGTGGCACAAATCCATACGCTGAGCATGGTCGCCTGGTTCCAGATGTTGTACCCTTTGATCATGGTAAGGATACAACTCTTCATCATGTAAAGTTCGCCATACCTGCATACGTGATACGCCGATGCGAGAGGCCACTCTACGAGTGGACAGACGTGGACTTCTCTGAACCATCTCAAGAACGTTCTCTCGTGTGTTTATCATTCGTACATCCTCCCTTTCAGAGTGCACAGAAACACTCGGAGGAGAACCAGTATCACGCAATGTCTGGTGAATTCGCGTAAATACACTTCGACATGTAATCCTTCGATCGGGAAAATGCCTTTGGTATTCTTCAACAGCAGCACATGCATTCCCACTGCAAAATCCACACACAAATTGCACATCACAATATTCCACGTTTGAAAACACAAAAGGCATATCAGCAACTCTGCACAATTAACCTACCACCCATTCAAAACGCAGCCGCAACGTATACTGAAGGGAGCTTACGGCTAGGGTGAATCACCACACTCAAGGACAAACATAGATAAGACTTGTCAGCTGGTAGGTACAGTGCGTGGACTCGCCAGAAGATCACACTTTTCTCGGGCCATTATCTCCGTAACCGTTCAACTTTGGACATAGGTGTTTTGGGATATATCGGCATACTATAACATAAGGAACACCCTCCCGAATTTGGGCACATTCCTCCTGGGACATCCTGTATACAGGTGTCGTCAGCAAAGAGACTTTGATAGACACCAGCTTTCATTTATATATTGACTATACAATGTGGGCGACAGGACAGAGGTTTGTGGCACCCCTGCTTGTATATCCCTTGGCGTAGATACTCCACCTTCGACTGAAACTCTTAATTTTCTCAGAGAAAGGAAAGAGTTAATAAGCTTGAACAGACCGATTGAAAATAGTAATGTTGATAATATATAGGAAGCCAGTGTGTCATGTTGCATCAAAGGCCTTTTCAATATCCAAGAATACAGCAGTTGTAGGCATGTTATTATTGAAATTTAAGGTTGCGTGGTTCGTAAACCTTACACATTTAAGTGGCATACTGTGACGAGCACGGAAACCAAACTGGCTTGCACTAAGCAGGCCTTTTTCTTCAAAGTACCTTTGGACTGTTATCAGAATAACTTTTCGAATAGCTTGCCTGTTGTAGACAAGAGGCTAATTGAGCGTAAATTTGGAGGAAATTTTGGGTCCTTACCGGGTTTCGATAACGTTATAACGAAGGCCAGGGGTTTGATGACATATCATCTTGTTTTCCTTGTATCCTATACGATGTCTGTCAATATATAAATCCCAAAGATGAGCTACGGGTTACAGAAATGTAGGAGAAACTGTACCAGGACCAAGTATGAGGAAA